AATCATGTTTAATTCAATGTGTTACTTGTAATTTACTTGTAATATCGTCTGTTTGTAATTATTTCTGAAATTAACAAGCAATTCCTAAGTGAAATTTTCACCAAATTGAGCACCTTAGTCACACTTTACTCATTATTTTTTTTTCTGTCTGTACCGATTAATTCCAATGAGTTATTTTAATCTATTGACAAGCAGCCCTAATAAATTATTTATTTATGCATTTATTTATGCATTATGCATATATTACACTTCAACAAAAATGTGTGAACATTTCTGCACTATTACAATAAAGTAGTGAGTGCCTTTGAATAGAAGTATCTGCCAAATAATAGATCAAATGTAAACAAGAGTTTGAAAAAGTAAGTCTAAGAAGTCTCTTTTCAAACTACAGTATAATTTCCCAGAGGATATTTTGTATTGCACATTTTGGTCGCTCTTTCAGGAGTCTCGGTGGAGCTCTTATTGAAGCATCTTGTATAAGGTCTCAGAGGTTTCGTTTAAAGTTCCTTAAATGAAATAGACCCAATAGTTGTGATACGTTAAAAATATACAGCTATAAAAATAACATGGGTTGCATAGCTCAAATCATTTAGCCTTCAAAAGATTTGAGGTTAACTGGGTTTACACAAAGTGTAACTGGAGCAGTATCTTTTTAAAATACACATTTATTAACAGTAACTCCTGAGTAATTGAATGCATTCATCAGCTTATGCACTCTTAAGCAGGACCGTATACCACACACACGTAAACCGGTTCAAACGGCCCACAGTTCATGACCCAGGGCTAAAGTACTCGCCAGAACTCTGGCTTTTAAACACAAAACCAGGCTTCACCTCAAAGGTTCACTAAGGGAAACAGGAGAGAACTATCGCATTACTGGGGGAAACTTTTAAATTAAAGAGACCCAAGTTGGAGGGCCTTCATGTAGGCCTGAGAGAACAATGGCTGCTTTCTGTCTTCATGAGACTTCAAAGCTACGTGCCGTGAAGGAACAGAGTTCTGCTTTGTTGTGGAAAGCCACAGATGTTGCTCTAGTTCTAGACACCCTTGTAAGCACTTTGAGAGGTATTCAATAGCCCAGCCTCCCACACGCTGCCTCTTAACCGCATCCTTCACTCTCACTGCGTCATCGTGAATGGACCAGCAAGTTTCCATGCTGTTCTTTTTAAATCGTTGTAATATTATTAAACTGTAAAATCTTTTATTTAAAGTTTCTCAAAAGTAGTTGGTGAAAGAAATGATCAAAATGTATTCAAATATATTAAAGTTTTCAAGTTTTGTGTGCAATGTGATTATTATATTTGTACAGATTTCTAATGTGTATAATTTTTCAAAAATACAGAAGCAAAACACTCTAGTTCTTCATTAATCCTGTTTTGAATTTTGTTGTCAAATATATTATTAAAATAACAAAGGTTTCTTTTTTAATCCTAACTTATGCAATCTTATTCATTTGGAATGTTTATCAGTGATAACCCTATTCAAATTAAATGAAAAAAATGCCTCCATAAGGTTCCATTATTTGTTTGTTTGTTTATTCCAAATGAAATATACTAAATTTGATCCAAAAGAGCAATTCAGTTTAGATTTTGATTAGCATGGGACATTCAAATTGTATGTTCCTGAAAAACTTGTTGCTATGATATATTTCAGAGAGTATAAACTGATGTTCCTGTGCATTCCTTTTAAATTATATTGTAGTTTTGTTTGTTTGTTTGTTTTTGTTAAACTTATATTGCACTGATTTTTAAAATACCTGTTATTACAAAAATTAACTTTTAAACTGAAAAATGGCAATAAAACAGAAATGGCAATAAGCAAGTTATATGTATTCTGCTATGAGGGGCGTCTACACACAGTTTTATAAACTTGCACACATTATTTTGCTTTCTTTTTCTAAAATGGAACTAAGAAAAAAACCTTTCATTGGTAAGCAGTCCTTGTATAGATCCTTACATGTATGTGTGTTTATTTATTTATTTCTAGTTTATATGTTTGACAAGGAAAACCTGAACCTCTGTAGGTACCCCTTTATTTAGTTTAAAGTTGCAACTTTTCATATTTTGCCACATTACCCAACAAACATGCATTACCCAACTAACATGCATTTACATGTTTAAATGTATCTCTTCAGTGACATATACTCTACATTTTTATTATTTCTTTGATCCATTCAACTAATCCAGATTAATTCATTCATTACTTGCACATCCTTCATCTCTACCCATCTCACCCTCCAAATAATCAATTCTTTTATTATCCAAAGCAGCAAACTCTCAAAGGATTTGAGCTCTTCCGTTATTCTTTGATGATTGGGCAGCGGTAAACTTCAAAGGGAAAACTCTTCATTCTGACTGGCTGGAGTTCTGATCAAACTCAATGAAATGATGCCAGTGTGTTCACTTTGCTCCAGGATTCTCCCGTGAGTTGTTTGAGGTGCGCAGTTTTGGGAACTATAAGGATTCTGGCTCGACAAGGCTTCATTGGCGTGGCGTAACTGCGAGAGCCATAATGCGCAATGACCCACTGCAAGCTTTCCTTCAGGTGCGTAAAGAGTATTCTCTGAGGGGAACTGTGTTAAACTTATCGTTTTGATGGATTTAAAGCATGCGTGTTGATTTGGGGGGTGGGGGGGGGGCATTATTTTAAGCATTCATTTTGAGCATTCATTTGCACAAAACATAGTGCCAGTGTGATTCAGAGAAGTGGTTCTCACTCTTAATAATTGCCTTACATAGGCTAAGTGCTAGAATAAAGAATTGGATTAGAGTACCAATCAATCAAACGTACGTTTTAAGTATTGATATTTTATTTCGTAGGATCGGACGCCAAACTCCACCCCAGAATGCACCAATGGATCCCCCTTGATGTTGCTGGAAGACACCTGTAATCGCATCTGCCATTCCCGTGCACCCAGATCCATGGAGCCCCACCAGCACATCTCATATGAAGGCTCCCCACCAAAACTCTTCCATCCCTGGAGAAGTGATGCAACTTTCTCACAGCACCTCCAGACCCCCTTAAGTCCACACCACGAAATGCCACTGACACCCCCGGCCGAACACTATGACTTCTCGCCCCTGAAGATGTTGCCTTGTGCGTCAGCATGCGCTACTCTTCCCACGTCTTACGTGCCCACGCACAATGGGCTTTTGGACCAATGGTGGACTGCCAATCACTCCTCAACACATCAATTTGAGATCCCCCGCGGGTGGGTTCTGGGTCACCCTGAGCTCGGCCAGTACCAGACTCAAATCGCAACCCTGTTGCACTCCAAGTCTCGCAGATGCCGGAGGTGCATGTGCCCCAACTGCCAAAAGAGCAGCGACGCGCCGGGGAAGAGAAAGCAGCACATGTGCCACATGCCGGGCTGCGGGAAGGTGTACGGCAAGACGTCGCACCTGAAGGCGCACCTGAGGTGGCACGCAGGTGAGCGGCCGTTCGTCTGCAGCTGGATGTTCTGCGGGAAGAGCTTCACGCGCTCAGACGAGCTCCAGCGGCACCTGCGCACGCACACCGGCGAGAAGCGCTTCACCTGTCCGGACTGCGCCAAACGCTTCACGCGCAGCGACCATCTGGCCAAACACCTGAAGACGCACCTGATGCGCAAGAACAGACCGCTGTTCCCCGTGCTGGATCACGTCAACAAAACTCTTGAACAGTAGTCTTAGATCGTATTTTGTGAGCACTTTTTGCGGGCCATCTCAGTAAATATAAAATGTTGGGGTGTGTTTTTAATTCAAGTTAATCTTTAATTTGGGGCAAGTTGTCACATTTGTTTGTAAATGTTATACATGTACATTTTATTGATTACAATATTTGTTGGACAAAACAATAGTTTCACATTTTTGTGTGTTTGCTGTTTCATCAATTGTTTTCATAACTGGTTTAAATATAACAGAAAAACAAGCTGTTTGATGTCATTGAGACATCTGAAGCCATATAGCGACAACAAGCTCAAAAGATGTGGGTTAGGCCAAGTCTTTTTCTTTCTTTCTTTCTTTCTTTCTTTCTTGAGAAAATTCAAAAGCGTTTTATCGTCAGGACTTTAAGGTGTCTACATAGATATTTTTTGACCTTAGGAAATTTTGAAGTAATAAAGTTTACCCTATGCAACATGGAAACACTTAAGAGGTTAACTTAAGCAAAAACGTTAATTGTCATTTACCTTCGTTTTCAAAAAGACATTTGGCTGCTAGGCTATATCAAGTGTATAGCCTACTATTTTATACTGTGTTTTTTTAAACCACACCAAAAACAAATGCGCAATTTTAGTTGTTTTTTGATAACTTGAAAGTTAAAATACTCATGGACCAAAGAAGAGTAGCCTATATTGTGCACTGTTTATTATTTAGAAGAGTATTGTGTTTACTGTATATCCTACTATTATTATTATTGTTGTTGTTGTTGTTATGGTTATTATTATTATTAATACAGTAATTTTATGCTGTAACATATTGTGTAATAGAAATATACTGTGTAGTAAAAAAATGACCCCTTCATCTCTCAAATACAGTCGATAGATCTTTATAAATATAAAGTTAGACACTTTGCACAGATGAACAGGTAAGAGCGCTCATATTTGGCACTTTTCATGTTAAGTTATTAGCCAATATGTTTTACATGACTTCCATTGTCTACGTTATATTTCACAGTTTATGCCTGTTTTTCTACTTTAGTTCACTGTAAATATCGCAGTAGAATGTGACTGATAGTGATCAATGCTTAAAAAAATTCAACAGATTCTTGAGTTACATTCAGTACTGTACATCGAGACTGATCTAACTTGGACTGTTAGCTATATGTTAAAATAACATCAGGGCCCACTTTTAAAACTGGGCCCTGGCATATTTTTACATTAACTCAGCATGAACACACAATTGTATTTTAAACATTTTTATGATTTGTATTAGTATAAATACACTTTATTTAGCTTTATATAATGGCTTTACCATTTCTTTAACTCATAAAGACCTGTTTATTATTGATTATACGTTTACAGTGTGTTGGAAGGCCCTCAGAAGTCTCATCCAAAGTCAGTGAAGAGGTCAGTGGCAGGACAATCTACATTTGGAGATCATTCATGTTCCAGTTCGATACTGATATCGGGTTTTCTTTCAGAATTGAAACATTTGTATCTGATGTTGATCATTGTGCTATTTTAGTAGTGTATGTATTCTTTTAAAGCATTGTTTTGACTTAAGTCTTATTCACATTTTGTCCTTTTTCTATTTCTGCTAAAGGAGGTTGCACCCTTAAAACCAGTGGTTGGCAGCTCAGCAGGTAAAATAATTTAGGTGTTAGTCTGCATGAATTAATATCTATCTATTCATATACACATAATGTCTATAGCAACTGTTTTGTAACATTTAGCAGTTACATGCACATGACAACAGTCTGTCTTGGTTTCCTTAAAGGCTTATTTTCTTCTGAAAGGGTTAATGAGATCAACTGCTTTGTTCTGTAGATCCAGTGGCAAAAGAATCAGTGGAATGGAAACCAAAGTAGGTTTAAAAATGTGTTTCTAGGTCACTACGATTATATATTGTTTGAATGCTGACCTCTGAACAATGAAGATTTTTATTGCAGAAAAATCAGGTCTTTTGAATTCATTATGCTTTTTGACACATACAATAAGCTTTACTTGATTTAAAAAAACATGTCCATGTCAAATGTATTAGGTGCTTTGTTTGATTTTGTGTAGGCAACACAAACCAAAACTTAGTGGAAAGACAGAAGGACAAGGACCCTCTGTAAACTCTGAGACAACAAATATGAAACTCAAAGCTCCAAGTTCCACAAGGTAAAAGCAGTAGAGACACTTTATAACAGTGGTTAATGAACAAAAATTGCATGCAGCTCTCAGTCAACAGGTCAATGTAAAAGAACTGGGATATTTACAATTAGTTGAATGAAAATGAAAATTAGCTGAAAATGTACTGACCTCAGGCCACCCTAGATTTAGATGAAATGTAGCATTCCATCACTTGCTCAGCAACAGATGCTCTGCAGTGAATGGGTGCCGTCAGAATGAGAGTCCAAACAACTGATAAAAACATCACAGTAATCCACACCACTCCAGTCCATCAGTTAATATCTTATGAAGCCAAAAGCTGCATGTTTGAAAGAAAAAAAATCCATCAAGATGTTTTTAACTTCAAACCATTGTTTCCATCTAAAATACGAGTCCTCTATCCATAATATTGCTTTCTCCAGTGAAAAAGTTGTTTCATCTGAATCAGGAGAGAAATATGCACAGATTTATGAGCAAAGACAGTCCAAAACAGTTTAAAATAAAATGACTGTAGATTTTGATGTGAGAGGACAACAGGGGATGCACTTTTTCACTGGAGGAAACATTATTGTGGATTATGGACTAATAATTTGGCCAGAAGTGATGATTTAAAACCGTCTTAATTATGTTTTTTTTTTTACAAACGAGCATCTTTTCACTTCAGAATACGCTAACTGATGGTGTTATACTGTGTTTGTATTTTGTTTGGGTTAGGTTAGGATTACTTGTGGATTATTGTGATGTTTTTATCAGCTGTTTGGACTCTCATTCTGACGGCACCCATTCACTGCAGAGCATCCATTGGTGAGCAAGTGATGCAATGCTACATTTCTCCAAATATTGAATGGGCTGAGGGTAAGGAAACTATTTCTTTAAACTTATTGACTTGAAATAAGAATGCTTATATACAACATTTTTATTGTACTGATCCACTTCAACCATCATTTAGATGCTTTGGTTTTGGTTTTGTATATCCAGGCAAATGAAAGCAAAACCTGGTGAAAAGACAGAGGGTCAGGATCCTTCTATAAAGACAGAGGTCAATCCTTCCCTGAACTCTGAAACATCAGATACCACACTCAAAGTATACACTTCCAACAGGTACAAACAAAAGCATTTCATTTCACAAAATAATAACTAAAAGCAACATGTTTTCTATACTAGAGAATTAGGATAGATGCTCAATACTGAAAGGAATAAAGAAACAAGCTTATTTTTAATTTGAGTATATCAGTTGCTTTTTGTATTCCGGTCAGCATGCTCTTTGGGTCATGCATGGGATGTGGTTTATGGGCCGTACATGCATAAAGCAGGGAAGCTGATGGCATTCATTCGCTCCAGTGATCTCTAATAGTTTACCTTTTATCACCCATTTTTTTCAGCAGCAGAGGTTATAATGCCTCTAAAGCTCCGTCCTTCAGAAATGTAACCACGCATGGACATAAACTACCTAAACAGGTTCCCCCTATTATGACAGGTACTGAATCTGTTTTATCCTTTAGTCCTTTTCAGCACATTTATTGTTCAATCTATTTGTCTCGGAATATCTGAAGCATTTTGTGATACCCATGGTGTCCAAAAATGGATTTTCTTTTTCAATTTAAGCATTAGAAAAACAAGGAGAATGTGATGTCCAGTCAGAAAGTGTGCATGAGCTACATATCCAGGCCCCTCAAGTAGTGCTGTCTGCAAATGACCAGGATCCTCATGAGGCACAGAGTGAAGAGGATGGAAATGAGAGCGCTGAAGGACACGTGCCGCTAGAATTGTTTGCAGAGGTGAGGCATATAGGACACGTCATGTACCTGATGTGTTTGAAAATGACTACTGACTAAACAAATGTTCTGTTTTTGTTTCTATGAATCCAGTTTCTACAGGCCGTGATGACAAGGAATTACCAACTTGCGAAGAAACTCTGTCAGATGAGTAAGTAGCCATGTGAATTAGTATTGTTTACAATTGGCATTTCTCATATAAATGATACTGATGTTTTCATCATTCTTTAAATTCAGTTTTAATTTATGAGCCCCAGAGCCCCAGAACTCAGAGGCCAAGAGCTTCCTGCCCCTCATAGAAGAAAAATTACTGATAGGTGAGATTATAATCTATTATTGTTCTATCTATCTATCTATCAGTTTCTTTTTGACATGGTAGTTTCACTTTGCTTTGACCCTTAAATTGTTAAATTGTAGAATTTACATTCTTATGACAAAAACATAAGCTTTTCTATGATTTTCCTCTTTAGTCTTTAAATCAACATAGTGATATGTATTTCTAACTTGCTTTAACCAAAAATGTTTTCATAAGCACTGCAGACATTAATGAAAATTAAATACCATTCATTAATTAGAAGCAATGTTCCAAATGGGTAACTTTAATAATGTGCGAGCAAAGATTTGAAATGTAAGTGTGTTGAATTCACCTTCTTTATCTGGATATGATTATTAATTCTAGAAGCAGATGAGGAATCAGATGATGATGATGAATCTGATGAATCTGACACATCTGATGAGGATGATGACGTTGAAGATGATGATGATGAGCCCTCTGACAGCACAGATGATACATTATCATCTTCATCATAAACAACAAACAAACAGTCTAGTAGATCTAGTGGTCCTAATCACGTACAGTATTATTTTAGTATTAATACATCTAATGCTCATAAACCATGTGTGTCATGTTTAGCATCTCATGCATGCTCAGTTATGTCTAATACTGACTGGACTTTAAAATATATTCTGCGTGAATTGTAATCTATATGTTTTAAGATAATAAAGTAGCTATTTCCTTCTTGACTTTTTCGGTTTAGTTGTTCAGAAAGGTGCAAGTGAGCGCCATCCAATGGAGGGGAAAAAACAGTTTCACAATTTGAACCGGGGTTAGTTGTCACACTGGAAAGTTGTCAAAAAGCTCCCCATCTAACAAGGAACGTTCTTTTTGGCTAATTTTCTGGAATGGTTCTCTCAACATTATTAACAAACGTTTGTTCCAATTAACGTGTATATAGAATGTTTGTTCAAAGTTATCTGGTCTTTAAAAATGTTCTCAAAATGTTAGCACAAAAACATTATTTATGCATCGTTCATGGAAGTTTTTTTGTTTTTTTTGTTTTTTTACTAATTGTTTTAGAATTTTCAGAGAACATTCAAAGCCTTCCCATAATGTTTACAGAATTATAAAATGGAATGTTCCTTTAACGTTCACATAAGTTAAAAACTGAACGTTTTGAACATTAAGACAACATTCAGAAATAACCTTTTCTTAACTCAGTTGGAACATTAGAAAATGTTCTTAGAACATAATTTTGTTTAATTAGGTCATTTCTATAATATATAGTAGCTATAATATTTTGAGTAGTTCAATTATCCAAATGTTTAGTTTTTTTTTAGCAGTGGCTGTGTCTTCAAATTAATTTAAACTACAGTTGTAGTGAATTTTATTCTCTATAGTACGTTTCAAGTAGTAATATTTTTGAAATAGCTGTTGCACGGTGAACACAAAATCACGAGTTAAGAGGAAATAACGATGTTTGCATTCACTACTTTTTTGTTGTCAGAACTTGCGCCTGCAGGGTTTGAATATGGAAAAACCCACCCAGAGAAATACTGACTGACTGACTGCAAAATGCGTGACAACTAGCCCCGGTCTCTTCTGAATGCAGGTATTGGCTGAGCGGAGCTGTCCAAGTGCTGAAAAGGCGGTAATGATACCGCGCACTTATAATTAACAACAACCAATGAAAAGTTGTCGTCAGTATTGACAAGCGTAATCAGCAGAGGTTCTAAAATAAACGATCTTACAAGCATGTACACAGCAGTTCAAGTGATTTTCCAGGGCGCTGCCCAAAAATCCTTCATTCAAGTTCAAGTTGGTCTGTTCTCTGTTGCCACCTCGTGGATGTCGGTGTTGTTATAGTTCCAGACGTCTCATCTAGGTTATACTGGGGCTGATCCACAAGTCATGCAATTAAAGAAAAAAAACTGATTCTAAAAATGTTGTTAAATTAACACAGAATAAAAATTGTTTATGGCTTCCCTCCAAAATAACAAGAAGCACCTGATGTTTCTCGTGATGTCTCACTGTCTGACTCTCTGCCCCTCTCTCTCTCTCTTTCTCTCACTCACCGGTTTCTCACTCCCACGGTATTTTGACGTGTGTGTATATATATTTTACTCGGAGAATTAAACTTCATGTGTCAGATGGCTTGAGTCCATTTAATAATCTCGAGACAAACCCGTGGATATTAACCGGTGGAAAAATACGGCAGAAGTGAATTTTGGAGATTCTCCTGTCGCCTTTTGAAGGATAAACACTGAATCAAGAATTGGCGCTGGATGGATTTTTATTTTCTTGTTCACTCTTCTGGTTTTCTGATATCAAGCGTCTCACAGCCACATCACGCGGTGTGAAACATCCTCCGTGTGCCTCCGTTTTTCTGGATTTTATTGTGACACCTGTGACTTCGTAAGGTAAGCGCTCACCTTCTGCGTTTTGATCTAAATGCAAGCCCTTTTTCTTGTCTACAATGTTAGGAGGGGGATAAGAATATTTGAAAGAGGAGCAGAAACTTCATTATGCTTTTTATACTCGATGATAATAAATGCATGTGCAGATATAAACCAGTTTCTGCCAATATTGTGATCTTATAAGAACATGTGTGGCAAAATAATGATCTAAAAACATGGTGTAATTTAACACATGAGCAGCGCAATGATTTTTTTGGGCCATATTTCACTAACCCCGACAGTGATTGATGCGCGTTATTTGAAGATATTTAAAGATCATCTTAATTGAGAAATCAATAAGTCACTCTTTTTCTATTCATTTTCTCTCTCATTTTTGGGGGGGAGTGAGCATCGGTTAAACGAACTGAGCTTCTGACCTTCTGTAAAATCATCTGACACAAAGAAGCATATTTATCATCGTCATCATCGCTAATAATGCCTTCAAAATGATCCTTTCTGTCCTGATTTCGTCGCCTTTGTTATGCTGCGGTAGAAGTGAGCAGATTCTTCATTTCTGCGTTTTAAATGATTCGATTTAAAGACCTCGTTACAGAGCCAATTAAGTCAGACTTCACGGTCTGCTGCGCGCTGGAGCTCAGAGGTGTGTCTGGAGAGCAAGAACCGGACCGCCATCCAAAATACCAAGTTATATAGGTCGGGTTATTTTCGGAACTTTCCTACAATTCTTTTCGTTATTTCTTAAGTGTGTTGCTTATTTCTCGCGCTTTGGATGTGCTGTTAGGTGCGCTGCTCTATCAGAGCGCATTTCTGAACCTGACCGAACACAAGACTAATTATCCTTGTGACGGGGAGTGAATTACTGCCATTTCAGAAGGATATCACAGATGCGTGAAATTATGCTGGAGATTCCTTGAAAACAAAAACGCTTGTTTTTATTTTTATAAGCAGTATATGAGACACAGGACGGTATTATTTAGTAGTATTTGTGCAATCACTTTGTTTTGTCCTAATTCTCCAAATTTTCCGTTTAGTGTGTTTTTTTTTTGGGTTTTTTTTCTTCTTCTTCAGTCTGAAAGCTGTGAGGTGTTTCTCCTGGACTGATGGCGTCTTCTGCACCTTCTTCCTCGGCTCCTGATATGGACCCAAACACGGCTAATTTACGACAACCTGCCACAAGTAGGTCTCTCTGGATAACGCGTTTTTCACTGGGCTTGTTTACTCCGTGGGGTGGCGATGTTCATCACTGCCTTAAAAAACACACAGCACCCTGTGAAATGTCTATTAGCTGACAGAGACAGCTAGAGAGACAAATGATAAATTATCTGATAGATAGATAGATAGATAGATAGATAGATAGATAGATAGATGTTAAAACGGAAACGCCTAAGGTTTTTGCCATAAAAATATAAATTCTTACATTTCAGGATCAAAGTGGAGGAACAGAGAGAGATCAACAAACAGACGATGTGTGCAGATGTGTATAATAGCCTACTACTACTACTAATAATAATAATCTTATGTAAGATTATTTTATCTCTTGTTCGTTTTGGGTATGATTTTAGTCTGAATTCATATATGGAGATTACAAATAAAATGATATTCTTAATTTTACTCTAAAATAAAAGCATCCTACTTCTGCCTAATTACGTGTTGCAGTTAATTATGGTACCGATCTTATAACAATAGTCCTGCTTTTTGCTGCGTTTTTATGGCAGCTTAAATAACAGCAATCAGCCATCGTCTGCTCTCAGCAGTCCCACCTTAATAGCGTAATTACAAAAATTACCCGCCATCACGGTCCAATTCACAGTTTCCTTTGTAAATGTAGGCTACTTAAAATGCCCGAGTCAGGGAAAGAATGCATGAAATAAACGGGTTTGATCTGATTTGATCGGGTTTAATAAACCTTAGTGTGCCTTTGTGTATATATGTAAAAAATTAATAAAATATTTTAAAACGTCATTCACATAAATAAACGATCCAATAATATAACGACGTAGTACATATGTTATATAGTTTATGTTATATACATTTTGTTATTAATCCATGTTGTCAAGAGAATTAATTATATGTTGTGTTGTTTTATTGTGCGTGCGTGCGTGTGTGCGTGTGTGTGTGTGTGTATTTTCTGCGTGTTTTGCCATTATCTCCCTGCCAAGCTCTATCTCACGCTCACTGACCTGAGGGGCGCGTGCTGTCTCTGCCTCGTGCTGACAGCGCGCGCTCGGGGCAGATAGAGCTAGATCTGCCTCCAGACACAACCCACCCCGGAGGATGAGATCAATTCATTTCAAACTATTGATAATAACAACAAATCTGCTTCGTTTCCAAACACATACCTGTACTATATTATTTATATAAAAATGCAAGCTCAAAACGTTGTGAATATTGCTGTTCATGCATTTCAGTATATGCCCATGCTTAATGTTGTGAATGTGTGTTCATTTCATTGGCGTCTGTCTGGTCACTAACGCTGGAGGTCATTCATGTATTTCGAATGCTACATTTTCTCTAGTCTCACTGTATGGCGGCTGGCAAGTCAAACACAAGCGATTCACTCAATTAATTCCGAGACCTCATTTCATGCACGCTTATTTTAAACCGCCTCTTTGCCGGATGTGTGCCACCATCTATTAGCTGTCTGCCTCTCAGATAGCCTCTACTGGTTCCTTTCAAAAACCTGAAATAGACACATAGAAAAAGAAAGAAAAAAAGCCACACAGCCGGCAAAGACCCAAGTCTGTTGCGCACATTCATTGTCTTCTGCGTCAATGCATGTTGACCCTGCTTTATTAGGCGCACACATCCTCACCCATAGCATACAAAAAAACAAAAAAAACATGGGTTGTTGAACAGCTCTCCAAACGTCTCGTTTTAGCCGGCGACGCGTGGTACGGGGTTGCAAACGGATGCACGAGGAAACTGGGCATGAAGATCTGTGGTAAGTTTCAGCCAACATCATATCCGTCAGTGGGGTCACTAAATGTGCCAAAACCAAGGGCACCTTTATCCATCCTGTTGTTGCTCTGTTGACCCAGGTGTGAATACATTTGTGCCCTATATAGGGAGCAAGTGACTGTCATTGCGTGTTTCCATCACACTAAAATATAACGACGTAGTACATATGTTATATAGTTTATGTTATATACATTTTGTTATTAATCCATGTTGTCAAGAGAATTAATTATATGTTGTGTTGTTTTATTGTGCGTGCGTGCGTGTGTGCGTGTGTGTGTGTGTGTATTTTCTGCGTGTTTTGCCATTATCTCCCTGCCAAGCTCTATCTCACGCTCACTGACCTGAGGGGCGCGTGCTGTCTCTGCCTAGTGCTGACAGCACGCGCCCGGGGCAGATAGAGCTAGATCTGCCTCCAGACACAACCCACCCCGGAGGATGAGATCAATTAATATCAAACTATTGATAATAGGCCTAATAACAAATCTGCTTCGTTTCCTTTTCTATGCACATTTCATGCAAACACATTATGTTGTTTATATAAAAATGCAAGCTCAAAACGTTATAAATATTGTTGTTCATGCTATTCAAAATGTTGTGTGTGCATTTTTGTTTCATTGGCATCTGTCTGGTCACTAATGCTGGGGGTCATCCATGGTACATTTTCTCTAGTCTCACTGTATGACTGCTGGCAAGTCAAACACAAGCGTTTCACTCAATTGATTCCGAGACCTCATTTCATGCCCGCTTATTTTAAACCGCCTCTTTGCCGGATGTGTGCCACCATCTATTAGCTGCCCGCCTCTCTGATAGCCTATATTGCTTCCTTTCAAAAAACCTGAAATAGACACAAGAAAAAAAAATGCCACAGAGCCGGCAAAGACCCAAATCTGTTGCGCACATTCATTGCCTTCTGCGTCAATGCATGTTGACCCTGCTTTATTAGACGCACACATCCTCACCCATAGCATAAAAAAATAAAGTGAAATATGGGATGTTGAACAGCTCTCCAAACGTCTCGTTTTAGCCGGCGACGCGTGGTACGGGGTTGCACACGGATGCACGAGGAAACTGGGCATGAAGATCTGTGGTAAGTTTCAGCCAACATCATTTCAATCAGTGGGGTCACTAAATGTGCCAAAACCAAAGGCACCTTTATCCATGCTGTTGTTGCTCTGTTGACCCCAGGTGTGAATACATTTGTGCCCTAGATAGGGAGCAAGTGACTGTCATTGCGTGTTTCCATCACACCAAAGGTCAGCGAGCTGATATTTACCCTGTAGGCTACTGTGCGAACAGGGTCTTAGTCTTTTGTTCCCCATATCACCCCTTGTTCACTCGCATTATTATTTTCCGGACAAAGGAATAGAAATCAGCCCGAAAGTAGAGGTTTACGCTTAGCAAGACAAGAGAAAAATAGCCTAGAGAGTGCTGTGAATCGTCAGGGTCTGGATGGAAATATTCTCTCACGGTCAGTTAGATAGGTTTTCGTAACTGGATTTGTTCTACAGTGAAACTCTATATATCAGGAGAAAAAAGGGCTGCCGGTGTTGCTCTCTAGTCTATTAGTTTCCTAGTGGGTGGTTCTCTGTCTCTCTCTCTCTCTCTCTCAACTTGTCTTTTTACGCCACGCTGCTTTTTATAGCCTGCTAAAAGATGTGAAGAGGATTGGGTGTTTTTAAGATGCACCCAAGTCTGTTGCGCACATTCATTGTCTTCTGCGTCAATGCATGTTGACCCTGCTTTATTAGGCGCACACATCCTCACCCATAGCATACAAAAAAACAAAAAAAACATGGGTTGTTGAACAGCTCTCCAAACGTCTCGTTTTAGCCGGCGACGCGTGGTACGGGGTTGCAAACGGATGCACGAGGAAACTGGGCATGAAGATCTGTGGTAAGTTTCAGCCAACATCATATCCGTCAGTGGGGTCACTAAATGTGCCAAAACCAAGGGCACCTTTATCCATCCTGTTGTTGCTCTGTTGACCCAGGTGTGAATACATTTGTGCCCTATATAGGGAGCAAGTGACTGTCATTGCGTGTTTCCATCACACTAAAGGTCAGAGAGCTGTTATTTACCTTGTAGGCTACTGTGCGAACAGGGTCTTAGTCATTTGTTCCCCCATATCACCCCTTGTTCACTCGCATTATTATTTTCTGGACAAAGGAATAGAAATCAGTCCGAAAGGAGAGGTTTACACCAGCAAGAGAAGACAAAAATAGTCTGTAAAGAGTGCTGTGAATCGTCAGGGTCTGGATGGAAATATTCTCTCACGGTCAGTTAGATATAGGCTTTCGTAACTGGATTTGTTCTACAATGAAACTCTATATACCTCGAGAAAAAAGGGCTGCCGGTGTTGCTCTCTATAGTCTATTAGGTTCCTAGTGGGTGTCTCT